GAATATAATAATTTCCATATGTCATAAATTCAGAGCGAGCAGACGAAACAATAAATGCTGTCAATGCTTTCGGAGGCGGATGCTGCTCTTCAGGAACGCAGTCGTGTGAGACAGTAATTACACAGACATACTTTGACGACAGACTTTGCTCAGGCCTTTCAGAACGACCAGAACAGCATTTCAGATGCTGTGAACGAGATCGGTCCGCTGTTAGTCCAGTTATCCCGTCTCTTAGCGCAAAGTCACATTACTTTTTTGTTGCGCATGGAGAAACTATGCGGTAAATGTGTTTTCATTGTAGTTTATGCACATTTTTTCTTATCAGATAAAAACTTTATCCTACTCAATTGTGTGCATAAGCTTTTTTTTAGAATTTATGTGCATCTTGGCGTTTCCATCCAGAGTTTTTTTTATGCAATATTCCAAAATGCACATAAAAATAGGTGGCTGTAAACACCGCTAGAGACAGATGGGTTTGCTCAGGCTGTCCTGTAGTTTTCACCCTGTTTATGTTTTTGGATTCTGATGGTTAAAGCGTTGAACTTTTCCTGTGGTTGTGCCTCATCGTTCCCTCATCCAGACTCACTGCTGTCTCGCACGTTTGTCACACACAGAACACGAGAGTGCTCTTATCGGCGCTGCTCGTTAGTGGTAATTAGAGAGAAGCGTCTCCACCCATCCAGTGTTTTTAGCTGCGTCTGTGGGTCACGTGATGCGGACAGTAAATGCTGCTCTGTAATTAGAGCGAATGAAAAGAGGAAACGGTTTTAAACACGTTTACTCCACTGAGCTTCCTCTCTGACTCGTGTTCTGTTGTTGATTTGTGTGTCGTTTAGAGCTGCTGATGTTCAGAGTTACATGTTTGAAGTCACTGGAAGTTTGTAAATTCTGTTTTACATTTAATTATAATGGTTTCTTTAATTTTTAATATTCAAAAAACATGTCTAATCAAATTAACTAAAAATTTTTTTAACAATGTAACAATTAACTTTTTTTTTTACAGCCAAATTCTGTGTTGTCTGGATTCTGTGTTATGATTTAATACAAATGTATCATTAAACACCTGTCAGAAAAACATTAATAATTTAATAAATCCTCCTGATTTAGTGAAATTCCTCAAAAAAAAATTTATTCAGTTATCTGAAATTGTTCAAATGAATTAAACATTTTCTGAAGTAGTTTTATAGAAATAGTCTTCCTGTAGTCAAGATGAAAGTCAATATTTGTGTTGAGATGACTGGAGACTGAAATATTAATCAAGCTCTTTTGTGTTTTTGAGGATTGTTATGATCCGGTTGTGATGATGAATGTTGGAGCTGCAGTTATCATGGAGCGGCCCATATGGTGTCTCACAGACGTTTGGCTGCAGAACCAACACACACGGCCAGATACACACACACACACACACACACACACACACACACGGCCAGATCCACACGCACACACACACACAGAGCCACACACACACACGGCCAGATCCATACACACACACACACACACACACGGCCAGATCCACACACACACTTGCTCGCACACACGCACGCACACACACTCACACACACACACTTTCACTCACACTCTCACACATTCACACATACACACTCACTCTCTCACTCACACACTCACTCACTCACCATGGTCCTCTAGGGTGCCTAAAATTCAAAATGACGTAAATTATCTAAAAGAAGCTTGTGTGTGTGTGTGTGTTTCAGGTGCAGTACCAGCGTGGTCTGCAGGAGGTCAAAGGTCACTCCTGCTCAGAGTTGGATACGCTTGAAATGAGGCATGTGCTGAAATCTCGTGTAGCAGGACCACGGCGACGCCTGTGTGTGACATCACCGCATTAACATGTGACTGACAAGCCACACGGGTGACGAACGATAACACGCGTGTGCTCATAAACACTCATGGGCTTATCAGAGACCAAACCGCACTGTAACACACACCTGCAGTGTGTTTGCATGAGAGTGTGTGTTGTGAGAGTGTGTGTGTGTGTGTGTGTGTGTGTGTGTGTGTGTGTGTGTTT